ACCTAATTTCAAGACTTTCTATAAAGCTGAAGTAATCCAAACACTGTGATATTGGCATAAGCATAGACATGCAGATCAGTGAAGCAGTTCAGAGATAGACTGAGAAATTTATGTTCAGTTGTTTTGTGACAGAGCCACCAAGGTAATTCAATGAGAAAAGGACAGTCTTTTCAGCATGTGGTTCTGGAACAACTGGATACCTTATGGAAAAAAGGTGACATTGTGACCCTTACCCCACTCCACACAAAACAAATACTTTAAAATAGATCTAGACCTTGGAAAAGCTAAAATTCAAAAACTAAATGAATGCATAGGAGAAAATATCTACAACCTTGATCTTTGTAATCTTTGCCTACATAGGACACAAAAAGTGCATGAACCGTAAAAGGAAAAGATTGATAAATTGAGCTTTATCAAAAAATAAATGTAGTAACTCCTGTGGTTCAATAGACAGTATTAAGAAAACAAAAAGGCAAGCTACAGACTAGAAAAAAATATTGCAATACTTATATCTGACAATGGACTTAAATTCAAGGTATATAGAGAACTGTCACATCCCAATGATAAGACAACCAATTTTTTAAAAAGACAAAATATTTTAACAGACATCACAAAAGATGGTATATGGAAGGCCAAAAAGCCTGTAAGATAATTCTCAACATCATTAGTCTTTAGGGAAATGCAAACTAAAGTCACAATGAAATACCCTACACCCACACCAGAATGACTGAAATTAAAGGCCCACTATCCAAAGTGTTGAAAAGTCTGTGAAGCAACTGGAACTTTCATACATTGCCAGTGGGAATACAAAATGACACAAGTACTTTGGAAGACAGTCTGGCATGTTTTTATAAAGTTAACATACAACTTAGCCATTTCATCTCTATTTATCCAAGAGAAATGAAAACATGTCCACACAAAAACTTGTACATGAATGTTCATGGCAGCAAGCCCCAACTGGAGACTACCCAAATGTCCATCAGCAGATGACTAGCTAAACAAAATGTGGAATAGTCACAAAGTATTAGCTACCAATGAATAGCATAGTATTCAGTAATAAAGGGGAGAAATTAATGATAGGCTCAACAGCATAGGTGGTTCTCAAAAAATTATTCTGAGTGAAAGAAGCCAAACTCAAAAAGTACATACTTTATGATTGCATTTATATGAAACTTTAAAAAAGATAAATTTAACATAATGGATAGAAAGCACATCAGTGGTTGCCTGTGGCTCTGTGTGGGGGCTGGATTGACCATAATGGAGCAAAAGGTAGCTTTTTGGTGTGATAGAAAAGTTGCATATTTTTATTGTGGTGATGGTTACTCAGGTGTATAAAAACTTAACAAAAATCATCAAGATATATACTTAAAATGGATGAATTTTAGCACATGCCAATGAAGGCGATTTTTAAAAATTGGCAGATTTAAAATTTCAACACCAATTAAATGAGTAAAATCACATAAGTCTCATTCTTTTCCCTGCTGCCTGTAATTTGTTCCCATTCGTGCCTATAGGTACCAAATTTTATTAGATTTCTTGATTCTTCTGTGCTTCTTTTTGCAATAAGCACATGTGTGTAGATACATATTGTCCCAAGTTTCTCACAAAGTTAGCAACTATAAATAATCTTTTGAACTTTGCTTTTTTCTTTTCTTTTATGTTTGAATCAACCAACTTACTATTTTTAATTTATTTTTATTGTATATATTTAGGGTGTACAACATGATGTTTTGGTGTACGTATATATAGCAAAATGATTATTATAGTCAAACAGGTTTACATATTTATCACCTCTCATCGTTATGTGTGTGATAAAAGCAGCTAAAATCTACTTTGTGAACAAAATTCCAGTATACAATGCATTGTTAGTGATGGTTCTCATGCTGTCCATCAGATTTCTAGGCTTATGCATCCCACCAGACTGCAAATTTGTACCCTTTGACCTACTGCTCCCCATTTCCACTCCCTCCCCATCCCTGGTAACCACTGTTGTTTTACTCTCTGTTTATAGTTATTTGACTTTTTTTTGAGATTCCATATGTAAGAGAGATTATACAGTATTTTTCTTTCTCTGACTAACTTAATTCACTTAGCATAATGTCCTCCAGGTTCATCTTTGTTGTCTCAAATGGCAGTATCTCCTTTTTTAGGGCTGAATAACATTTCATCATTTGTGTATCCATTGATGAACATTTAGGTTGTATTCATATCTTGGCTATTGTGAATAATGCTTAGCATGGGAGCGCATATATCTCTACGAGATATTGATTTCATTTCCTTTGGGTATATACTCAACGGAGAAATTGCTTAGTCATGTGGTAGTTCTACTTTTAATTTTTTGAGGAATCTCCAAACTCTTTTCCACAGTGGTTGTACCAATTTACATTACCACCAGCAAC